CTCCACAGCGGGACCTCGGCTCGGCTCTCCTCCCTAAAAACAGTGATTTTGCTGTCTTGCCGGCAACGAGTTATTAAAAATGAAAAATCACACGCCCAGTTTCCTTTTCATAATCTCTGCCGTGGTAATTAATTCCGTTTCTGTTCCTTGGAAACTTGCACAGGAGCAGCAGTCTCAACCGGTTCTTTAAATAACTCCGTGTGACAGTCTTGGTTAAGATTTAAGTGGCTGCAGCACAAAACTAAATGTATAATCTTCTAAAGAGGAGATTATAAGGAGATTATTTCAGATATTTGAAACGTGCTGGTGTGCAGCATCAGTGTGAAAGTACCTCACATTGCAGACAGATTGGGTTTGAGCTGGTTGTTGTTGTTGTTCACTTAGTTGGTTTTTTTACGCAGTGCTTGGGGGACGCTTATTAAAAGGTATCAGACACTGCATTCTGCCAGTAAAGTCGTTACATTTTATCTTGGGATACAGGTAAAGATACTTTGCTTTTAACTCAGTAGTAAAACTCTACAGGAAATTTTTGCCTCTGCAAAAGGAATCCAAAGGGAAGAAAGCTGTAGGATAAACCTGGAACAGCCTCAGTATTTAAAAACTCCATTGGAACAGCACAGAGTAGAGTTAACAATCTCTTACCAGTGCCTTATATAAAGTCTTTTTGCTCAGGTCCCTCAGCTCCTCGGGTGTATTTTACTGTGGCTCAGTTCTGGCAGCATTCCCTTTAGTCCTTTGAGGAATCCAGTTAGTGTTAGAATCCAGGAAGTGTTAGAATTTAAATGGTTCCTTTGGCCTGTTTGTAGCTATCACACTTTCCAAAAGCCTCTGTGACCTGGATGTGAGGAGCCTTTAAGAATGTAAGCTTTGATTCTTTATGCAGTGGCCATAAAGATCATTTTGGTTAAACTTGCAGCTCACACCGATGTGTGCTAATCCACTTTTTCCTTCTTCATAACCCTTAATATGTTAACTGACTTCATGCATAATGAGATGGAAGTGAAATGCTGTAAACAAGCAGATTAATAAGTCGTAGTAATGTCCATGAGCACCTATGGCCTCAGAAGAACAAGACAGCAAGAACAAACAGCAAATTTCTGTCCTCGACCTCTCTCTGTTCCAGTCAGAATGAAGTATTTATGCCAGCGAGGGAAAGGACAACACAGCCTCTGAATAAAAAGATGATGGTGTTTTGTGGTGTTTGTTATTTAAGAATCAAGTGAAGTAACAGTTAAACCAGTGTAGGAGTTCCTGCAGACAGAGACCAGAAACTAGTGTAGCAATTCTTTGCTACAGAGAGCATGACACAGATTTGCAACAAATGGAGCTGCAGGAGCTATTTCTAACAAAGCCAATAAAAAAAAGTTTAGTAATCTAAGTTATGATAAGCTGCTCAGGTTAGAATTTAGGTTTCGCCTTCACTGTGAGCTCAGTAATACAAGCTGTGAGACAAGTGTCTCATTCTTCTTTGGACTCTTCCATCACAATGCAGGATGGAGTTAGATTGAGCTACTCTGGCTTCAGGCCACGGCTGAGCTGAGCTGACTCTGTGACACCTTGAGCCAAACCCCACTGCAGGAGCAATGGACAAAAGACACTTGGTTGAGGTGGTTCAAGGGAGCATGTTCTCTGTTATAACTGAAATAGCATAAGGTGTGCTCAGCTTCCAGGTAACACCCTCAGGAACTCCTGTCACCTGGTTGTGTCAAACGTGCATTCGTGGATTTCTTTCAAAGTGCTGTCAAAATGCTCTTGAAACTTAGTCAGAGATCAGTCTACGATGGTGACAGGTTTTCATTTTATCCAGTTGTTCAATGAGCTGAATGTAGTGAGAATTGTAAGAGAAAGGCATTTTTGATTGCACTTTTAAAACATTTGGCTTTTTTCTGTGATACAGCATCCACAATGCCCAACGCTTTATGGAGTGAAATGTCACCAAGCTTGACATGCAGCCCATTCAGGCCCAGCTTTGAGATAGCAAACCCTGCAGTAAATCTACTCACAGCTTGAATGCATCTCTCAAAACTCAGAGAGAACAGACATTTCTTTGCCTCAAAGGCAGAACTGCCTGTTTGTGATTCACTGCAAGCAGATGTAAAAGTGGCCAGTTTTAGGTTTTGTGATGTATTTCAAGACGTGCCTGTGCCCCCTGGCTGGAGTGTAACTCTCCTGGTTGTGCTGTCTTGCAGATAACTTCCTCTTCAGTGACGAGGTCATTGCCAATGGCTTTCACTCCTGCGACAGCGACGAAGACGACAGAGCCTCACATGCAAGTTCTAGTGACTGGACCCCAAGACCACGTATAGGTAGACACCTGTATCATGTCATTCTCTCCAGTCTCCAAATTATTTCTTCTCTTGCAAAAAAATTCCGCTGTTAGTGCTTCTGAGCAGCTTGGAGTCGTTGACCATATTCTGTATGCTGTTAAGAGTTTAAAAAGGAACCTCTTTAACGTTGGTGTATTTTAATTAAAGTTGTGAATGGTTTTTTTTGATGTAGAAATCCTGCCATGATCCCTATTAGAAGTACACACACAGACTCACCAAATTGAACTGATTTATGGCATATTTCTAGGCCATTTACTTAGTGTTCATTCTTTAAGGAGCAGTAAGATGATCCTTTGTGATTTTAGGACAGTGAGCCCTCCGGATTGACTGTTACATCACTTTGGGGATTATTAGCCTCTCTGTACACTGCATATTAGCAACAGAGAAGTTAAGCATGGCATTAGGAACTCGGTAGAGTTCTTGCCTTGCACAGGCATGAGATGTGTGGGGGACAGTGGATTCCAGGGTGCAGTGGGGTTGGGACTTGAGGGCTTAGGGCTTTTGTCTTACGCAGGTGTGATAGTGCCACAGCATCTGTTTTGCCAGTGTTAGGAAGAATAGCAGCAAGGAAACACAATGTGAGGATAAAATACTCCCCTTGCAATCTGCCCATGTGTTGTCCTTGCTGCTCCCTCCCCATGGGATCACTGTTGGTACCTCCTGGGTAAATATAGATAACATGTGGTCTGTTTATGTGCAATTAGCCTTGGCAATGGCTGTTTGGGTCCTCTTAGTTTAGCTTCTTAATGTGTGCCTATTTCCCTTTCTACAGGAGTAGAAGGAAAGGCTTCTGCACCCTTAAGAGTGTTTGTGGAAAGATTTAGATGGCTTCAGGAGGTCATGTCTCAAATCACTGGTGTTAGATGTCTATACACAACAAAAATCCACGAGTCGCTGGGCTCTGTGGTCTTTTCCAAGTGGTGCTTTATAACACCACTACAAAGTATATGTATGTTTGTTGTTTCTTCAGCCGATTGCTGTGAATACCAAAGGCTGGGAAAATACAGATCAAGCCATAAAACAGAGATGCTGTTGTGAAACTTACGTTGCTACGTAGTTGCACCTCTAAAAGCCATTAAGTTTGCTCTGAACTGGGATTTGTACCTGGACTCAGTTGCTATGAAATCCTCCATGGGTTAACTTAAAATAATGATGATAAATAAATCAGATCCCTAACTGTATTGTCACTTAGTAGAGTTTAGACCAAAGCACACGAGTGGTTTGATGAACGAAGCATTAAATTGGGCTCTTAAAGCTAGTAGCAAAGCATTAATGAATGAGACGACGACCATAATCATCTGCATTACTTAGCTCCATTGTAAATATTTATCTCTTGTTAATTTTCTTAGGTCCCTACACTTTTGTTCAGCAGCACCTGATGTTGGGTACAGACCCACGGACAATTCTGAAGGACCTGCTGCCAGAAACCATTCCCCCACCTGAGCTGGATGACATGACTCTGTGGCAGATAGTCATAAACATCCTTTCAGAGCCACCAAAAAGGAAAAAAAGGAAAGATATTAACACTATTGACGATGCTGTGAAACTTCTACAAGAGTGCAAAAAAATAATGGTGTTGACTGGAGCTGGGGTAGGTATTGCTGTGGTGCCACTGAGCAGGGCAGGGGGTGGGACTGTGCTCCCAAGGAGCAGGCACAGCTGCCCTCTGGGGACTGAAGCTGAAGTTGGAAGTGGCACCTTCACTTTTCTCCTAACAAAATGCTCCTAGACATTTAAACTCTTGAGCATTGCTGCCATGCAAAGTAGTTACAGAACAAGAACACATCACCTGTCCAGAACGTTTTCTCTCCTAGTTGTTTTCTCATTTCAAACAAAGGTAATGATTTTTTTCAACAAATCTCAGTGGCTCTCAAGGGACTAGGAGAACAGGACTTGAACAAAAAGAGTTGGAGGGAGGATCATAAGGAGAGTTTGCTCAGATTTCGGGAGACTGTTACTTTTAACGTGCTGCTCTATGATGGCAGTGAGGTTACTGTTTGGCTAAAGAACATTTCTGAACTGTTGCATGTTTCCAGCTCTGTACCTGTGTACCAGATCAATTTTTGCTTCTGTTGTTCACACACAGTTGGTGTGACACGATTCAGAGCAGAGCTTTTAGAAAAGCACTGCTACTCTGTTACCTAATCTTCCTCCTTCTATGCTTTCATACAACTGTTTCTCCTCCTCTTCACATGGTGTTTTGGGGTAATCTGAGACAGTAACTTTTAGTCCTTAGTGACTACTGCAATGCTTTGATAAACAATGTTTATCAGAAGGGGTTTATTTTTCAAATATAAGAATCTATTATCTTACTGTGTTGGCATGTAAACAAAAAAACCCCAAAATACCAACCACCATGTCTAAGCCTTAGTTGGCTGATCAGTGAATACTTATTAATCAGATTTAGTGCAACAATATTCTCAATTTTTGTTCATGCCTTACGAAACTTCCAGTGGTGATGGCAAGTTTTAGTGTCCAGTTACTGCATGTGTGGGATTCTATTAAAGAGTTGTTTGTCCACTTGTCATACTTTATTTCTATGCTGTTTCTCCTGCTTGTGATTTGGAAATTGCTGTATTGGGTGGAAGGAAAAAAAAAGACTTTCTGTTCTTAGTGCCACAGCACACAGAAGTGTTTGCATTCCCAGTTTGTATCGCAGCAACCTTTTACATCCCAATATGCAGTTTCACTAATTTCAAGTTGCCAAACTGTGTTCCAGGTGTCTGTGTCTTGTGGAATACCTGACTTTCGATCCAGAGATGGCATCTATGCACGCCTTGCTGTAGACTTCCCAGACCTTCCAGATCCTCAAGCAATGTTCGATATTGAATACTTCCGGAAGGATCCCAGGCCGTTCTTCAAGTTTGCAAAGGTATGGTTTTCCAACAGTTCTTGTCTAGGTCAGCAAAGACAGGTAACAATATTAAAATGGATAAATCAGGTAGAAAACTGAAAATATTTGTCAACATTCTCTCACTTTTTTTTAAAGTTGATTTTTACTGTTCCTGTTATAAGTTGTTGATAGACACAACCATCCTAGTCTGGTTTCATGGAGGCCAAATAAAAACTCATAGTTATTTGATCACACCTCAGTAATCTTATCTGCTGTTTCTTTCTCTGGAGAATGGTAGAATGTGAGAAACTTTTGGTCAGCACATGAGCAATATGGAAAACTGTGTTTGGCTCTGCTGGACATGCTCTTCAGTGTCATACAACTCATTCATGTGTTTCCACTGTGTTTGCAGTAAAGAGGGTCAGAGCAGTTCCATGCAGTGATAAGTCTATTCTTGTTTCAGGGTTTGGTACAGCTGTCACAAGGATCTGTACATCTTAGAGCATTAAAGCCTTTCTGCAGGGCCTGTGTTCACTGAAAAGAGAGCACACAGCAGCGTTTTGGAAAGATATGAACAATATTGAACAGTTTCAGAAACAGGGAGTACATCTCCTGGAGCAGAAGGAAGTGTAGAAGCTGTAGATTTATGCAGAAACAAAAAACCAGTTGCATTTACCCTGCAATTTCCTCAGGACAGAAAAATGAAACCCAAGGTATAAGAATTCCTACAGGACCAGTAAGGACTTGAGAAAATCAATCACCACTAGTTGTGCTCATTCTTTCTTCCCTTTCCTCACAATTTATACTACTGCTCTGTTAGGTTAGAGGTTGGAAAAGAAAATCCAGTGCATTCTTCACCTGCTTGGCTTTCTCTGAAAGCCTCCTATCTAGATACTGATGTATTTTGGTGCTCATTAGTATAATTAGTTCCTTGGGTTTTGAATAATAAAACACACAAAAAATAGCCAACCAAAAAACCCTCCAAAACCAAAAAATGCCACAGCAAGTAAAAAAATAAACTTACTTGAAGCCTGTCTATACACAGATAGTTTTATACCTTTTTTTACATTTTTACTTCTTTTCTGTCCATCAGAATATGTTTGTAGTAACAGATATTGAGGTTACTTGACACTTGAAAAGGAAAAAAAGCTTTCCCAGTTCATAATTCTCAAAACCAGAACAAGACCTAAACATTGCTTTTATGCTGTATGAAGAACCAAATGCCAACCTGCACAGGGCAGTTCGTCCTGGCAGGATCCCAAATGCCAACCTGCACAGGGCAGTTCATCCTGGCAGGATCAGACCCTCAGCTCTTGGAAGGAGAGTTGGATCCCTTGGGAAGCCATGGAGAGTGCACAGGAAGTGACAGCACTAACTGCTGACATGGTCATTGTTGACAGGATTTGTCTCAGTGTGAATTGCTGCTGTTAAAATAAAGACACTGTGTCCATTTACACTTTCCAATGTGTTTCTGAATTCCCTAGGAAATCTATCCAGGACAATTCCAGCCGTCTCTCTGTCACAAGTTCATAGCTTTGATGGATAAAGAAGGCAAACTGCTTCGCAACTATACTCAGAACATAGACACACTGGAACAGGTTGCAGGAATCCAAAGGATAATACAGTGCCACGGTTAGTGCCTTTAACTTCCCTTGTTTCATGTGCAGGAATGATTCTCACTGGGGCATGTGACAAGGCAATGGCTGTTGGAGCTAAACTTGTTTTCCTTGAGTTCCTGTCTCTTGCCAACAAATATTCTGCTTTTAAAATGCTGAAATATTTTTGAGTATTGTAAGTATTTGAATCCAGAGCATTTCAAGTGGAAATAATTCATTCAGCAGTTGAGCTTGATGCAGGGTGGTCTGTGTGTCAGTGAAGATCCACACCCTGTTCATGCAGGCTCAGAGCACAACTTCTGATGTGCATTTGGGTCTTTTGGTACCAAGATCTGGGTGAGAACATAGCATGGAAGTCAGTCATGCATTAGGTGCCTCTTGCTGTCTGTCAGTGAGGTGGGAGTCTGGCTGTTACCTCATTCTTTACTTAGGTTGTAGTCCATTGAAGTCTGAAAGTATCCTGACACTGCAGTGACTTCACCTTGTCTACAAAGCACTGTGGATTAACCACTGGTTCAGCTGAAGATCATCTTGCTACACCTTCAGTGTCGCACACATTCTGACATTATGATGTCAAATTAAGTGGAACTGTTCTAGTTGCTGGATACCCTTTCCATTTCCAAGGTCTTGCATAAGTCAAGCTGAAAGTCCAAGGGCTCATTTTTAAGGAAGGGACGTGGAAAATCAGTGCCAGTTTCCATCTGTTCTTAGTGTGTCACGCATTTGCTTTTGGTTGTCATTCTGTCCGAGGCATTTGCCACAGCCTCCTTTCCTGGCTGGGTTTTTGCACATCACTGCTATGCTCAGGTTCCCCACTTTTCCAGCTGCCCACTCCAGTGATGAGATTTCAGACCATCTTTACTGTATGTCCTGTATAAAGTGATTTTAAAATAAGCAGATTCTTTAAAAGCATGTTATGAACTTGCAGATTTTGAGGCCCTTGATATTTAGCAAAGGTTGACTGGAGCACATCAAGCTTTATTTGATTTATGGTCATGGACTAATGGTAGTGACTCAGGAGAAACTGAAACTCATTGGGCCATTTCTCACTGCAGACCTACAGTAAAGTTTCTGCTGTGAAAACTGCTGTGTATCGAGAGGCATTTTCTGAATTTAAAGTGGCTCTTGCAGTATGTCTGGAGTGAGATTGTATTCCTTGCCATAGCTGTAGCTGAGACTCAGAGGCCATGGCCTGCTGGCTGTGCATGGCTTGTGCATGGGGCAGCAAACTCCCTGCTCACATCCTGAGGGTGAAAAATAGTTCACATGATAGAGCTGTAAGTAGGTGGCAACAGATGGCTCAGAGATGGTTAGTTCTGCCAGCCTGATAGACATGTCTTTAACATATAAAGGTCTGAATTACTACTATAAACTAATTACAGTGAGCAGATAGCTGTCATACTTCCCACAGCCTTAGAACCCCTGAGTTCTGAGAGCTGCAGTGCTGAGCAAGGTCTCAGAAGCTGTGCAGTTTCCACACCAGCAGTGATCAGCAGACCTGAGCTGCCAGTTGCTCATAAATGATCTGCTCCAAGTTTTTCCATGCTTCCACTCCGGGTTACCCAGACACAATACTGTTGTGGTTC